GCACCGTTTTGTGCCTGGGTTATACACCCTGCTCCTCTCAATCTCATCAGCCAAGTCTGAATACCCAAGACTTTCATTCGCATCAAAAGTGAAATGACTCCGCGTGATCTGCAGACTGCGGCGGAGACCTAGGCCGACAATTCGATCGCGAATGATACAGCACCACCAGAGACGCTTGAGGAGGTTGCGCTTCTTGGGAGATGCTGTGCGCGTGGCGTAGTGATGGGCTTCGACCATTTTCGCATTTTGAATCGCGATGGAGAGCCAGGCTGTATTTGATTTGCGGAATGCCGGGGAGGTAGGCGAAGACCAGAAGGAGAGGAGGAGGGAAGCCTGTGAAATTGCGAGGGGTGACGATTCGGATTCGAGGTCGTAAAGAAGCTTGGCACGTCTATAAAAAGCGGCGCGACAGGCTCGAACGGTCGGAAAGCCAAGGGTCTTAATGGTCTGGCGGGAGACGAACTAGTTGATATTAGAATTGCGCCCTGAAAAGCCGTGAGATTGGATGGGGATAACGTACGTTGCAACAAGCGAACAGCATTGCCTGGAAGACAAGCAGTGAGAGCTTTTCGCCAGGTACGTAACTGGTAGGATTCACGCAGTAGAGATCCCAAAAGTCGCCCTCATGGATCATTGGCAGCAATGGGTGAACATGCAGGAAGTATTGCTGAACAAACTCGTCGAGTATGGCGCGTGTTGGCACCCTAAGACATCCCTGGAGCTCCAAATAGTTCACATCCTGTGGTGGTATTCCGTGAAGATTGCCCAATGTCAAGAATGGGTAAAAGGAGTATGTTACGTCTATCCCCATTGTGGTCTGTTGGCCAGCGGTATATGGCGTCGTAAATGGCTGATTGTTCAAGGGCAGAGAATTGGAAGGGAAAGCTTCGTACGTGCTCGTTGATGCTACTGAAGGCCTGGCGTGGTGACGGCTTGGCTTTGGTTGCTCATTCTGGGCATGGCTATCATTAACCACCGGGCTCTTTGGTCTTTCGGTGACTGTTGGTATTGTCATGTCGTCGCCGTGTGAATGGTTGCAGGTTTGGGGTTGGGCGTCTGATTCGTTTGAGGGAACCGGCCGAGAGTCGTCACTCGTTGCTGTGATGGGATCTACGACAAGAAGTTGCTCGCCGGCCTCTGCATCGTACTGCGGATATGCGCCTTCCGCATTGTCGACGCCATCTCTTTGTTGCGCTCTTCGACTGTTCGCTGGGTTAGTATTACCAACAGTGAGGAACAAGACCACAGCTACTTACAACCGTGACGCGCGCCCAGTAACTACACAATTCTCACTGTCGAGATAGCAGTTCATGCATGGGCGACCTCGTTGAGACACGTCGCATCTCACTTTGCGTGCGCGACATGATAGACAGGCTTTTGGTGCGCGCTTGCGGACTTTGGTTTGCGATTTGGGCTTGGAGACTTCGGGAGGTGTGGTCTCAGATGCCATTATCTAGACTTTGGATCGCGCAAGAAGGGTTTTTCGCTGGGATCCGCAAGATAAGGGATTGGAGCGAGGAGAAGCTCGTCTACGAAGACTGAGTACGGGACCAGATGACGCGAAAAAAGAGTTGAAAATGTTGAGATTCCCAGACCTGGACTCAGCGACTTGACCGAAGACGGAAGACGGGAACACTTTGCGGGGTGTGGGGAAGAGGGGAAAGGCTTGCATGGCAACTCTGGAGTCGAAATTCTGGGGTCTGGAGCCGTCGACGATCCTTTGACGCTAGATGTCTGGGGACGGCATGGTGGTGGACACGAAGACACGGAGGTCGAGCCTGAGTTGGCATCCTACAGGGCCGGAGCTGTGACCAGTGGAAGCTATCGTCCAAGCCTGGAGCCGGGTTTGTATCGGAATGATCGGAATTGGTCCTTTCTCTCGCTCCCTCCCTCTCTCATTCTCGTACTCTGACTCGTCTCTTCCGCCGACTTGGCACAAAAACTAATGATCTGTAATCCGCTCACCCTCCTAGCGAAGTGCATGCCGAACAGGTAGTGCTTTACCTTGGACATGGGGCTAGAACTTGGGGCCGAGGACTGCGAAACTGCAAAGTGGAGGGTTGAATTTGACATAGCAAATGAGAGTCAGTCAATTTCAAGGAACTCCTTTGCCGAACACCTCTGCCGAGTCGCCGCGGCGACTTCACACAGAACTCCACAAGAGCTCGGCGATGCAGACCAATCAAACATAACGAACCTATTCCCCGACTGACGGCTGGGGTCGAGTCATTAGCGTCATCATGAACAGCGAGACCCCGAGCTTTCGGAGGTCTTCCGCCCAGCCATGTCAGGGACCACTGAACGCGGAATTAAAGAGAGGACACACACCTCGCAGACTGACACTCTTTTACGTCAATTGCCCTTGTTCATTGACGGAGCTTGTAGGATGAGATGATGTATCGTATCAATGCGTACCACCACTGATTCTGACTTCTGACTAGAACCGCCACGATGCCTCTCAGTCAGAATCAAATTCGGACGACGACGACGAAGAAGACGACTCCTCGCTCTCGATTGGCTTGAACACCCAGTCGCCATCATCTTCCCTCAATAAGCATACATTGACATTACCGACAGCTACATCCAGTCCGTTGGGCACATCCATACCATTGCCGACCTTTGCGAGAATCGAGGCATCAATCCGACAGAAGAGCATCGGCAACGAGTCGCTTTTCCACACCGATATGCCGTCGCGAGCGCCTCTGATGATAGTATGCAGGAGGTAGTAGATGCTGATAATGATTAGGCCTGTTGGGAACAGCATCCACAGCCAGTCTACCATAATGACCTGCACCATCTCATACGCTCGTCCGGTATATCGATGTCGGTCCTTGTCCCGAATCTCGCCGTGGAGTCGCACCTCATTCGTCAGACTGATACTAAATCGGTCAATCCATTCCGGTAGTTTTTCTCTCGCGTTGTAGATCCCTTCGGCCCAATCTGACGAAAAGTTGATGATCGTGTATTGTTTCTCGTACGTGGTTTCGACAAGCGGGTCGACGAACCTCCGCAATGCAGCCAGCGCTTTTTTGGAAATACTGTACCTGGACTCTGGCGCAACGTTCATGTCTTTTGCTGGGATATCGACGAAGACGTACTCGTCGCCGTGCGCGCTGTTGCCCAATTCAAACCGCGTTGTGTTCCAGCTCATGGTAAGCTTTTGCTTAAGCTGGCTTTCGGTGATCGTAAAGTTAAAGCTCTTCATGCAGAACCACAAGGCGCATTCCTGAGCAATACTTTTCGTCTCTCGCTTGCTTTTCATGACCCACAGGACGTCGAAGACGGATATGTATGTTTGCGTCGTCGAGTTCATTCGGTGCATGATGCCCTCCGAGGCTGTTGTCTTGAATCGCTCCGTGGTCGGTGCATTTCGGCTGATTTCCACTGATGTGCCTCTGGGCAAGCTGTACCGGCACGTTTGCGATTTGTCGATACATATAGTCCTTATGTCTAGGGGGTTGCACTCGCCGCAAACTGCCAGCGTTGGCACGATGGGCCACGTGCAGTTCACACCGGAGCATTCGAGATCCAGGTTCTTGACATCCACGGATAGGATACCGCTGTATACGGCTGCTTTGGTGGACACATTGAGAGCCGGTACTGCTACGTGTTAGTAAGTGATACATATGACAAGTGACGCATCATCACTCACGCGGGTCAAGGCCCCGGGAGACAGTGTAGTCCTATAAATCACTTCTCTCTGGCGCTGCGACTTCGGGTTTATCAAGGCTTTGTCGTGGCTGGCCCTCGTAACGGTAGAGCTGCTGGGAGGATGCCTCGAGTCCGTGGACAAGAATGACAATCAAGGCGCCAATACAAGCAAGATGTCTGGCACGCCATCAGTTAGCACAATATCCCGGGCAAAAGAGAACAGAGGCTCCACGGCGCTACCTTCCTCTCAGTCGCCACAAGAGATACAAGCTGCCCCAAAGCCCGCGCGAAGCCTCGTCGTATATCTTGAAGTCTTCCAACCTGGCTCGACTGTCGTTGGTGCGACATTGCCGGGCCTCAGATACCCAGATCCAGGCAGATTGGCTAATGGAGGTCTCGACAATTCCGCTCATGGCTACGCGGACGCAAGTGAACATGGCTACAATGATGACATCGAAGTCGAGGTCGCCATTCATCAGTTGGGGGATTGGCTGCCGGTCGTAGTGCTTGAAGATGATGCCGAGGACGATGGCCCCGACGGCGCAGACTGCAGCCAGGCGGTATTCGTCATTCCACCATTTGTATATGGACTTGTAGTCACTCTTGGGGAGGGGCCGCGGGGGTCCTTCTTCCGTGTTATCGTCATCGTCGACCGCGCCGTCGTGTTCAATCTGCTGACAATTGAATCGCTTTCTGAGGGCCTTACGTGAGCAGGAGCTCGTGGCCGAGGATCGAGAGGAGGGTATGTCGTTCGACATGAGGGATAGAAATGTGTTTCGATGCTAAAGATACTCAATGGCAGGCTTATGAAGAGAGTCTGGATTAATTATGGCCTGGCAACAGAAGAAGGAAAGGATGCGACGAGAGTGATTGATGCCCGATGCCAAGGTTGATGATTGAGGGCACGGCAATATAGATGGATGATGTTGGAGGGAGGTTCGAGTTACAGCAGCTTGCAGTTGCGCCGGGCACCTCAGGCTCCCGTCCATGGCCTCTGCGCAAGACGAGGTACCTAAACGGCGTGATGTCTTTGAGAAGGAGCATTCCATTTTATCACCGGTGTCGTGCCTTCCCTTCAAATTCGACTTCATGAAGGGAAGGATGGCTCTCAGGGTTCAAGCCACACCTCCACTTACACGAACATGTGGCTGATGTTGAGGGAGCTTCAGTGAGGGGTCGCGATAAGGCACAGGGGAACGAGGCCAATAAGACGATGACGTCGACCTGCCTTTTGAAGAGAGGCAGGAAAACACTTTCCTTGTTCTTCAGAGGAAACAAGAGATAATTCTTTCATGCTGCCGTCTCGTCAATTGTAAAGCCAATAAAGCGATTGTATTTTCATGACAACGATGTATACTTCATCATTTTTTCTTGTTTCCCTCCTGTTCCTCCATGTCCATGGCGGGGCTACTTGGAAAGTCCCCCACAAAACATTTGACAACATTCAGTTACCTCATGGTCATCAAGTGCCATTAAGCGCAGAGAATGACGATGATCTGAATATCTATGGCGCTACATCGTTTGCCGGGCTGAGAACTTTTGCCAACTTGCCCTTCGTAGATTGCTTCTCTGACGAGAATGCGGAGGGTCATAAGTATGACATTGCGGTCTTTGGTGCGTCACACGACACGGTAACTGCAGCTCGCTTCTATATACTTTGTAGAGCCATCATTTGACCCCCAGAGTAGACTACCACTGGCCGGCCGGGAGCTCGCTTTGGTCCACCTGCCATTCGAAGCGGCAGTCAAAGAAAGTCGCCGGGAGAATGGAGCGTGTACACGGGTAACTCTTCTGCATGGGCCTCGTATTGATAGATGTCTTCATCTGACGAGAAATGTCCACCAGGAAGAAACCCTCTGCAAGACTGGGCGACAATTGTAGACTGCGGCGATGCCCGCCTGACTTGGCTGGACAACACGGCTTCTCTTAAGCTTTTAGACAAAGCCCACACCGTTGAGTGATGTTCTGCTGAGCTATCTCTTGGACCATGAGCTGATGAAGGAGCGAAAGGTCATTTCTGGCAGACTAGCAGCGAACTCGTCGGTATTAATCACGCCTAGAATACTCACGCTTGGAGGAGACCACACGACGACCCTGTCTGCTTTGCGGTCGACCTACCAGAAATGGGGTCCCGTCTCAGTCATTCACTTTGACAGTCACATCGGTCAGTACTTTCCGTCAGGAGATCTTCGTACCTAGCTTATCATCCAGAAAGACACTTGGGATCCATTGGTCTTGGGTAAGTCATCCACTAAAGATTGCCGATGCTCCCCAAGTTAATACGGATCGCCTTTTCGCGCTTCAGGCGGTGGAATCTCCGACTACGCGTAAGTGAAGACAACAATACACTCATGCTAACTGCCACATTTTGACCGATAATAGAGGCCTCAACCATGGAACATTCCTTCATATTGCCCACGAAGAGGTCTGTCTGGCCAAGCCCGACGGTATTCCCCTCACGAGAAGCTAAATGGCCCAGAATCTGATCTTGAATACCTCGATCCACGCGGGTATCAGAGCCCCGTTGATCCGAAGAAAGGGTGATCTGCGTAATGACGTCCGATGTGGTTTTGAGATTGTCACCGCACGCGACTTAGATAAGCTTGGAGCCAAAGGAGTCATCTCGAAGCTTAAGGAGCGAGTCGGCGACTCTCGAGTATACATCAGCGTTGATATTGACGTGCTTGATCCGGCTTTTGCGCCTGGTGAGTAGTTTAGAAAAGGCTTCAGGAAGGGAGCTGACTTTCATAGCAACTGGCACTGCCGAGCCTGGTGGCTGGTCTACGAGGGAGCTTCTTACCATACTCGATGGCCTCGAGGGACTCTCCATTGTGGGTGCTGACGTAGTTGAGGTCGCGCCCGCGTACGATAATAACGGGGAAACCACTGTTCTCGCTGCGGCCGAGATTGCTTATTCATTGATCGATCTTATGGTTCTCAAGCCTGTCCAGTAAATGTTCAATGCTGGTAGAACCATCTTTGGTGAAATGAGACGAGGCATTGGGTTTGGTTGAAAAATTGTGATCTAAGTCTGGAAGTCCGTCAGGGAAGGCACGATGGGGAGGAAACTAAAAGGGGAAGTCGCGTTGTCTGCGAGTCAAAGTGATGGATCAAATTCAGTTCTCTCGCTGTGTAAGAGATATTACTATAAATATGCTACGTGCATTGTGAGAAAGACTCGATGACTTGAGAACAATCAGACAATGATGGGAGACAATGCCTTTGATGAAATCCCATAACTTGTATTGAATCTTTACCGCCGGTGAAATAAAAATAGGCCTTTGTGTCCTTTGACTGTGATGAAGAAACAACTCGGGGACCCTTTGAAGAATATGTTTGGAAACCCTGAACAAGTGGACGCCTGGTCAGGCCGGGTGGTGAGGCGCCTTCTTCAAATACCCGTCTGGTCGAGTCCCGTCTCCTTTCTGTTGGCTCGTAACTTTCTCGCTCACCACACACACACTCACTCACCCGCGCAAACCCACACACACACACATACATACACACACTTACACAGCAATCACCCCAAACTCAGATTCCACATCGTCCTTTTCTCTACTTCACATCTCCTCCAAATCATCTCACTCAAACTCAAACTCATCCTTCCCACATCATGGCGAGTTCATCATATATCGCGCCTGAAGCCAACATGGCGTCGAGTTCCTCCTCGGAAACTGGTTTTTCAGGAGGAAGGAACGCCCTCGCTGGCCCAACTGGAGATAATTTCAGCCAGTATCAGATTCAAATCTCCCGAAGCCCAAGCACGGATTATGATCCGACCGGAGATGGGATCGTGGAATGTTCACCTTCAGAGGACGAAGAGGAGGAAGACGACATCGAATCCTCATTCTTGTCCCAAGAAAGAAGGGTTGCTGCCAGCCCATCTCCAGCAGAAAGCACACCCCCTACTGAGTACGCCGCTTCATCCAAATCCACGACTCCAGTCAAGAAGACTCCCCTCAAGAAGACTCCCATAAAGGAGACTTCCATCAAGAGTACTCCGCCCAGCTCGCCTCCTACCAAGGTGAAGCTCGAACTCAAGGGGACGCCCCCGGCCCAAGCCCAACAATCCAAGAAGCGATATCTCACGGCCTCACCCCATAGGTCCCTCAAGAGTACATCATCAAAGCCAATCCTGGTAGACTTCCACCCTCGCAACTCCAGCCTCGAGCAGATCCAGGCCCTCAGAGCGCGCCTCGACATGGGCGAGGAACTCGTCTACAAGACCCAGGTAAACCTCCTCCAGTGGCAAAACAACATCGAAACCCAAGTCAAGGACCTAAAGGAAGAAATCCGCGAAACTAACATCGAGACGAAGAAGCGCCAGGACAAGCTCCAAGACCAGCAGGACCAGCTCGAGGAAAGACAAGAGGTGACCGACTCCCGCAGCGCCAGAAACGAGCGCCGCCTCGCAGAGGTCGAGATCACCATCGAGGACGTCATCGGGAAGCCTCCCAACCTGCCCGGCCTCTTCCCGCCTGGACACTCGTCGTACTTTAGTGGACCGACGAGTCCCAGCCGTCTCCCCGGAGCCTGGGGACCCCGAAGCAGCCGCAGCTCGCGCACGTCGCGTACGGGCTCGGCGGCTCCTCTTCCCAGCATCGAGACAAGCGATGCGGTCAAGAGTATTAAGCCAACCTTGGGTGGTCGCTCCAGCTACTCAGTGGATACTGCCTCTCCTCCGGATATGTCCCCTTCAATTGGTTCCAAGAGAAAGTCTGAGGACTTGGAGTCTGACGAGAAGGACGCCGAGGTCAGGGGGGCGAAGAAGCAGAAGAAGACGGCTAGCAAGGCCAAAAAGCAGCCGGCGAGGAAGAATACCGCCAACACAACCAAGGCCGCACCCAAGAAGACTACCACCCCGCCGCAGTCACAGAAGCGCAAGGCGGAGGAGGATCTCGAAGCGTGCGGCAAAGACACCGGAAAGAAGGACTCAGGCGATGAGGACACCCAATCTCCTGACAATAGGCCAGCCGAGATGACTGCAAACGCTCCGCTTTACGGCGGCTGCGAGCCCATGAGCCCTTCCCCCCTTCCCAAGGAGACAAATACTGCGCCCAAGGGCCATAAGCGCAAAGCAGAAGAGGAGGTCGAAGATGACGGCAAAGGTGAGGGGAAGAAGGACCGAGACAATGAATCTAGAAAGAGGCCCATCAAGAAGGTCAAGACGGTCAAGAAGTCCGGAACCGAGCCCAAACAGGCTGTTACCACATCCAAGAAGACAGATACAGTGCCCAAGGGTCAGAAGCGCAAGGCAGAAGAGGAAGTCGAAGAGGGCAGCGAAGATGAAGGAGAGAAGAATCAAGACGACTCGTCTGATAAGAGGCCCAGCAAGAAGGTCAAGACGGCCAAGAAGTCCGACACCAAGCCCCAACAGACTGCCTCCATATCCAAGAAGACGACTACCAAGCCCAAGGGCTCGAAGAGCAAAGTAGAGAAGCCCCCCAAAGAGAACGATGGGAAGACGACGAGGGGGGATGCCAAGGAGGATATCAAGGAGGTAGAGGAGAAGCCTGTCAAAGCTCCGAAGAAGAGAACTGCCAAACCAGTCAAGCCGGCAGTGCCGGGAACCAGAACTGGCCTTCGCAGTCAGAAGAAGGAGCCTGCTCCCGCTTAGGGGGCCCGGTCCGGGGTTCTAGAGTATACTATATCAGTTCGCGCCATTCTTCTTGTTGCAGAGGTCCACAGAACATATTCAGTCAGCCGGCGTGGGTTAAGGACATTGGGATATCAGGAAGGCCGCCATAATTCTCATTGGTATTCGAGAGTGTTGGCCTCATGGATATCTGGGACTTCAGGTTAGAAGGAAGGAGGCATCATAAATTTCAAATTTCGAGACAAAATACACGCGTTGTCAAACATTAGTGACTAGCAACCTTGTGATGAATGTATCGATGATGATAAGCCAAAGTCGCTTCCATATGACCATTCTAATCTACATCAGCTTGCCCTTCATGCCTAGAGAAGCCAAGTATATCCCCAAAATATCTCAGCAAAACGCTCCAAAACCCTCCATCAGCACCAGACCCCAAGAAACCCCCAGTCTCTTCGCATCTATCACTTAACAATCCCCAAAGGCCCTTAACATGAGCCGTCCCTCTCACATACGCCATGGCGAATACGGCCCGGGAATGCCCTCTCCCTTCCACGAAAGGCAATCCCCATAGCCCCTTTCTCCCTACCTCCCTCGATTCCGTCTTCGAAATCCCCATCCTCATCGCAAACAGATCGAAAAGAATCCTCGGCACAGGCGGATCAACCAACGGAACCACTCTCGCTCTTCTCTTGGCTCCATACCCAACAACACCCCTCCAGTCCCCCCTCCCCCTTCTCCGCGCACCGCTCTTCCCCATCCCCGTCCCCACCGCCTTCGCTTGCCTCCTGGACGTGATGAACCTCTGCTCCTCCCACCGCGCCCCCTCAACAACACAATAGCTCCCGCTCTCCATCTCACCCTCATCCCACCCCTCCACCGTCTCCTCGCCCCATCTAGACCTCATCATCGACGACGTCACCGCAGTCATCGACGACCTTCCCTCCTGATCCCATCGCCCAACGGTTCTCGGACGTCTAGGATAAGGCGGCCTCGGCCTCCTCCGCCTCCTGACGTCCAGCCACCCGTCCCCAGCGTCCTTCTCCCCGCTGCCGAGTCCGTCTCTGCGGGAACGTTCGTGAGTGGTAGTATACGTCGTCGCGCACGTCGAGGAAGTATACGTCGACATCCACGACGGGGAGTTGGTATACACCGCCGCGAAACTCGGGCCTCCGGGGGGAACGGTAAGTGTGCTTTTCTGTGTTGTTGCGGTGTCTGCTGGGGCGTCGTCTGGTGGTTGTTGGAGGATGACTTCTGGGATTGCGTCTTGCGCCATCCTAAGAAAGTTTGGTGGTGGTGTTGGTGAGGGATGAAGGTGATGTGATGGATTGAAAGAAGAAGAGGAGGAGGAGGAAGATGATGAAGATGGAGACGGTGAGCGATCTGGGAAGCATGCGATTTCGAGAGACGATTTCCTCGTTCGCCGAGGACGAGTGTGAGGACCTGGCTGGTGTTGAAGCTGAAGCTGTCGCTGTCGCTCGCGGCATCGTTTACATGATGAGCGTTTCTTGCGTCTGCATTTCTCGCAGGGAACCTTGGTGTCTGGCGAGCAAGCGTTGACATCCTCGTCTGCTTCCTCTTCCTCTACGCTCTCCGTATCCTCGGCGTCTTCTGCGTCGGGGAAGATATCCCAATAGACTGAATCCATCTTCCCTCGACCTGGTGATTCCGTGAAATCGTGATGAAATTGCTTGTTTTTGCTGAAGCTCTCTCAACTGAATTGTACAAAGACCAGTATCATCCCACAGCAGACGTTGAAGTAAAAGAAACCATGTGATGTCTGGAATTCTCTCCACCCCCTCCGTCACCGTACGATGTTACGATGTTACGATATCATCCCAAAGCAGTGAGACACGCATGCATACGGTACATAAACGTTGGGGTAACAAGGCCGCATCGGAACGCGGCCGGCCGCGTCTGACACACATACAACGTAGTCCGATTCCGGCCATCACCCCTCTCCCCAAAACTCCCCGAAACTCCCGTGTGTCTCTATCTCTCCCCTGAATTAGCGGGGGAATTTTTCTTAGTAAGAAGCGTGCGTCGCGCGTGTAGGCGAGGTTCTAACTGTTTAGTAGCTGAGCCGTCGAAATTGCGCGCACTAAGATAAGGGACGAGTAGTTGGAATATGGGCGGCCTTTTTCTCCGTGTGAATACGAGGCATGTGATTGAGGTAGATAGATTGCTGCTCGTATTTGGTGTACATTTGTCATAGGTGAGCTGCGATGGTGAAGGTATCGCGATCTATCCAGCCCAGGTGTGCATTATGAAGCACTGCCGTGTAATACATCACCAAGACAATAGATGATCAACCTCATAGCATTGACTATTACGTATATCCTGGTCTCGGCATTTCAACGGAGGAAAACTAAAAAGAAAACCCCCTCCTCTGGAGAATCAAAAAGAAAAGGAAGGAAATATGAGGGGATAACATACCAAAAACTCACGCCCCTGCCCGGACTTGAATAGTGCGCCCCTCAGTCAACCCGGACTCCGACTTCATGGGAATTTTTTGTTTTATTTATTTAACCAATTCGACCACCTCGCACGCAGCTCGACTCAAACTCGTCGACCTAGCCGAGCGCTGCTGTGCTGGCGTGAGGAATGGGTTTGAGGGGGGTACATAGCCACGGGTACCCAAGGGAGGAAGGAGGAAAGCGATGTCGAGGTGGGACAGAGCTACCTTGATTCGAAAAAGAAACAACCAAAAGCTGCTGGGATCGATGAGCGTCGGTGTGAACGGTGTATGTTCCAATACCAAACGAAACATATCAAGGTTATCAGGATTGGCTTTGTGAGTGATGAGACAAGTAACGGGCGATATCATTTTGATCCCCTCCCAACGCCGAGCAATGCCTACGATACAATACAAAGACCCTTCTCTCATCTAGACGCAGACTGATGATATCTTCTCCTGAAGAATACGCGCCTTCCTTAATCCCAATACCGAATATCCCCCTCTGCCCCCGCCGAAACAAACTTGCTCGTCTCCTGTGGATGCCACGCGACACACGTGACAGCCTGATCTCCCGCCTTGAGCTTATGATACATCTTACACGTCTTCCAGTCCCAGAAGCACACGAACCCCTGCGTATCGCCGCTCGCCAAAAACTGCCCGTCGGGGCTGACGCTGACGTCGATGGCCGTGCCGGCGTTGTTGTGGCCCCGGTACGACTTCTTGCGGTTCTGCCGGAACTTGTCGTTGGCGCCATACACAACAATCTGGTTGTCCGACGACTGGAAGGCGACGTATTTCCCGCTCGGGTGCGGCGCTGCGCGCGTCATTGGGTACATGTAGGGCTCGGCGATGTACTTGATGGGGACTGGGATGTTGTAGTCCCAGGCGCGGAGGGACTTGTCGTCTGATGTCGTCATGAAGCGGCGGCCTTCGTCGACGAATGTGATTGTGTTGATGGCGGCGAGATGGTGGTCTTGCAAGTGTTAGTACATCATGTTTACTCTCCGATGAAAAGGGGAAAGACCAAGGGGACTCACCATATTCTTGCACAATCTCGTTGCCGGCGCGCGTATCCCACTGCACAATCTTCTTGTCCGACATACCCGCCACAAACTCGTGAGCGTGCTCCGCCGACGGGTTAAACCGCACCACATGCGGCGTCTTGCCCGTCGAGAATCGGCTCAGACACGTGCCCGTCTCCGTGTCCCACAGCTTAATCTGCCGATCAAAGCTAGCCGACAAGAACCGCGTGCCGTCATTGTTGAACGTCGCGTCCGACACCGCCTTGGCGTGGCCCGAAAACGTCCGCAGCAGCGACCGCTCGTGATACACGTCCCAAATCTTGACCGTGCTGTCCGCCGAGGCAGACAACAACAAGTGTCCTGACCCGGGGAAGAACCGCAGCGCCGTGACGGCTTTCGTGTGGTCCTTCCACGCGTGGATCTGCTTCTTGGGGATGTAATTCGTCACGCTGCCGGCCTCCTTGCGCAGGTCGACGTCGAGGTCCTGCGGGACGTGCATGTACGTCCGGCCCTGGTAATCCGTCTCCTCGGCGCCGTGGAACGTTGTCGTCTCCTCGCCCATGGCCTCCACCTCCTTCCTCCGCGCCAGCGCCGCCTCGGGCGCGCGCAGCACCGTCCCACTCTCCACCACGTCGTCGTCCTCGCCGTCGTCCGTCACCTCCTCGTACTCCTCGTCGCTGGCCAGCGCCTCGCCCTCGCCGACGACTTCGTACTCTTCGCGACGGTACCGCGCCCAGGGGCCAAGGTACGCACCGTCACCTTCAACGATCGTCGCGTCGCCTTTGCCCTCGCGACCGGACCGTATCCGCGCGTTCTCTTCTTTCACGGCCGCGCCCGTCTGGTACTCTCGTTCGGGCCCGCCTTTCCGCTCGACGGCGCGGTGTTTGCTGCGGAAGGTGTGTTCTGAAATGTACGTCTCCTCCGCCCGGCCGGTGAGAACGTTCTTGCGCTTCAGCGTCATGGCGGATTCGTCTTTGAAGGGGTTCGCAGGGCCGACGCGCGGTCGGGCGAGGTCTTCGCCGGTGTAGGGGACGACTGCGTGATCGGGCTCGGCTTCTTGCCGCACGACGAGCGCATCCTGGGGCGCCATGTTGGGCGGGTAGTCTCCGAAGCCCGACATCTTGGGTGCTGTCGTCTCGTCCGTCGCGAGAGATTTGAACAGTGAGTGAGTGGGTTTTGTTGGTATCGCAGAATCGCAATGTTTGATCGCGACTGGCCGCTGGTGTTCCTGGTCGTGGCAGCAAAAAGTTGGTGTCACGTGATCTGATGTCAGGATTTGAATTTGGGGAGCTACCCTTGGGATCTGCGGTTTCCGACCTCGAAGCTCAGGTTCAAGGCGCAAACAGGCGCACGGAAAGCTTGGGCAGCTTTTGGTACCACATACACACCAAACTCACACTCAAGGGTGTCTGAAAGTAAGGTAACAGCCGCGTTGAAAAAGTTTAGTTTGGAGCAGCAAGGCAACAAGCTTCAAAGAAAGAGACATTCAGAAGATCTGTCATTACTCAATTATCGCAACCCGCCGCTCCCAGGACCAGCCGGCCTGGTGACAACATAAAGTAAACAGCTAGGTATTTGGTCTTTCGCATCGTAACCCGTCTCCCGCCCGTTTCGTTCCTTCATGCCCTCCTCCACCATGTGCTTGTGTGTCGTATTCCGTTTTCTCTTTCCCATTCATCATCATCAGAATCCAAGCAGAGACACCTATCTCTGCCCGTAACTCCGGGACACCATATCTGTCAGCTGTCGTTTCTCCTTTTGACACCCCGCATTGCTGGTATCATGACTCCCCTCCATGTCTAGCGGTTGCCCGCCCGAAACCTCTCCCTCCCTCTTGGATAGTAGCTCCGGATGGTGCATCGTTTTAGAGGATGGCAGCGCATCGGCGTGTACGTTTGATTCGTTCTTGTCCACGTGGCATGGTATCTATATACTGGAATCCGTCCTGTGTGTTGTGCGCAGGGTAGGGTTCACCGATTAAGAGGACTCGTCGCGGATGAGGGCGACAATCATGCTGTAGAGGTAGAAGAAGAACATGATCAGGTGGAAGCCGAGCTTCACAAATGATTCCTGCGCGAGTTTGTCAGACACGAGCTAGCTAGAGCTAAGGTGTGTTACGGCTCTTACCTTCTTGTGGACATTCAGCTTGCGGAAGATCTCGGTAGCATCCAACAAGTGGGTGTTGTCGACAATCCTAGGGTCAAGTCAGCTTTCTCGAGTTCTGCCACCACCAGGCGAGTCACAGGGGGGAACATACTTCTTGACATTGTAGGCTACGAGCGGCAGGTTCAGGATCAAAGGTACCCAGTATCCATTGATCAGGAACATAAAGGTCAGGAATCCATGGACGGCAGCTTCGGGGATGATGTAGGTGTTGAGGCGGTTGCAGAGGTCAATGGGGTTGATGTAGTCGCTGTAAAAGTAGGCATGTTAGCATACAATTGCAAGAGATCATGGGATGACAGCTATATCGCGTCCGCCCGCTCCGCAGCATGCAGCACGGTCTAGCCTCGAGCTCGTCTGAGCACGGAAGAAAGAAGCTGGCGTGCGCCGTGCAGCATGCCGCAGCAGCAGCAGCAGCGAGGCGGGAAGGAGATGGGTGGATAAGACGAGGGATAACGTACCATTCCAGATCGCTGTACATGATGGTGAAGAAGACTTGAAGGAAGAGGTTGACGGCGTTTATCAGCACCGCGAAGAGGTATAACCACGCTTCGCCGGACATCTTGACGGAAAGTTGGCAGCGAGCTGCGCTAGTTGAATATGTTTAGATGGAAAGGGAGGATAGAGAGATTTGCGACAACAGCAGCTGCTTCGAGTGCAGTTGCTGTTCGTGGGTTTTGGCGGCGTTGAAGCTTGGTTTTGGCTCGCGAGGCTACTTGGAGCTTGTATGCGTGCGTGCGGGCAGGTGGAATGCTTCGACGTCACTGGGGTGATGTAGGAGGAGGGATGGATGAGCGCAGATGGAGCTCCGTCTCTGTGTCTGCGTATGCGGCGACGGTATCTGTAGGTAGATGGATGGATGGCAGGGTTTGGCTGCGTGTCTAGGTGGCAAGCAGACGTGTCTCTTGGTCAGGCAGCTATGAGGTGAGAAGTTGTGCGGTTGAAAAGAGGTGGAGGATGTCCAGCACGTGGGTTGAGAGAGACAAAGTTGGAAGAGCGAGGTGA